TGTGGGGGACACGGGGGACATGTGGGGGGACACATAGAGGACACGTGGGGATATGGAAGGGACATAGGTGACATGCAGGGCACACGTGGGGGACACAGGGGACAATGTGGGGGACACGCGGGGGGCACTGGGGACATGGAGGAGACATGGGGGACCTATGGGGGACACACGGGGGGCAAGTGGGGACATGTGGGGGACACGGGGGACATGCGTGGGGACATGTGGGGGACACATGGGGACATGGGGGACACGTGGGGGACATGTGGGGGACACATGGGGACACGTGGGGACACGGAGGGGACACGTGGGGACATGTGGGGGACACGCGGGGGGCACATGGGGGACACAGGGGACATGTAGGGGACACGCGGGCGGCACGCGGGGGGCACGTGGGGACACGTGGGGAACGTGGGGACATGTGGGGGACACGCGGGGGGCATGTGGGGACACGTGGGGACACGGAGGGGACACGTGGGGACATGTGGGGGACATGCAGGGGACACGGGGGACATGTGGGGGGACACATAGGGGACATGTGGGGACACATGGGGGACACGTGGGGACACGAGTGGAAACGTGGGGGACACAAGGGACACGTGGGGGGCACGGGAGACATGTGGGGGACATTTAGGGCACGCGCAGGGGACACGTGGGGACATGCAGGGGATGTGTGGGGACACACGGGGACATGCAGGGGACACGCAGGGACACATGGGGACATGCAGGGACACGCGGGGACATACGGGGATATGTGGGGACACAGGGGGGATATTTGGGGACACACGGGGGACACGTGGGGACACGCGGGCGCCGGGCGCTCACCTCTGCGGCACGGGCACCAGGAACACGTGGTCCTGCACGCGCACGCGCACCCGCATGGGCACCGCCGCGGGCGGCACCGGTGCCTGCCGGGGACGGGCACGGGGGGCTCAGCGGGACCCTGCCGCCCCCCGTGTCCCCTGGGTGTCCCCGGGTGTCCCCTCACCTGCGCGGGGCTGCGCGGGGGGCTCCCGCCCGCGTCCCCCTGTCCCTCGGGGGGTGACGGTGTCGGTGGCGTCGGGTGCCGGTGCCGGCGGCGCTGCGCGGCCCGG